CAATTAGAGAATGCTTACAAAAGTTGGCATGCCTTTGGGACAAAATGAACTTCAACATGGCCTTATAATTTGAAAGCTGCCACAAAGTAACAAATGAGAAATACCATTAGACAGTTCCTGGTGCTCTTGGATACACTTTCCCTACTGAGGTAGTGTCAAATCAAGCAGACTTGAATGGACTTTCATTCTGACAGAAGCCAAGAGAACTTGGGGAAGAAAAAAGAATAATCAAGTTCCCACAATAAGAAAATATTCAGATGGACTTAAAGTCTTGGAAAGATTGCTGACAGGATAATTATTGATAAAGATCCCAATTTTTAATTTAATACAGTATATCCTGAAAGTCGATAGTGTATCAAATGTAAGCAGAAGGAACTTAATTTCTATTAGCTAACCTAATAAAACTATCTTTGTTAAACTAAAACACAATAAAAGTTTTCAAATTTATTTTACTCCAGTGATATTCATACAATGTAACATTATAATAATTCATTAAAAACCAACCTTATATAAACTTAGTAGTAAATAAAATGTATAAGGGCTGGCCAGTTAGCTCAGTTGGTTAGAGCGTGGTCCAACACCAAGGTCAAGGGTTCAGATCCTTGTACCAGCCAGCTGCCAAAAAAATATAAAGTGCTACCTAAGGGACTATTTGCAAGGGTTTCCAAAGCTATAATTACTATTGACTCCACTATTAATGATTCGTGCTCTAGCTCATGGATTTTTTTACTTTATTTCTAAAACGTAAAGGAAAATAAAAGTTGTTATATTCAGGAATCTGAAAAGATAGAGATTATTTTTTAAATACTAATAATTTATCTGTTTATAATCTCAAAACTGAACATAGTTACTATTACGGCCTGGCACAGCTTATGCCTGCAGAGGAGGCCAAGAGCCATGGCTCATTAGAGATAAGAGGAAGAGGAATGAGAAGTAGCAGGAGGGAAAAGGAAAGAAGAGAAAGCTCAGGAGGCAGGGGCTGTCTGGGGAGGAGGAGGAGAAAGACAATGATGATAATGGGCTAACGAAATGTGAGGTCAAATGAGGACTACATATATAGATTAAAATCATATCTATGTAAATCAGCTGTACTTGGACAACTCAAAACTGGAAATGGAGTTGTGGTTTTCAGTTGTGGTTTTTCACCAAAAAGTCAAAGAATCAGAGACCTGTTAAGCTAGAAAAGACTTTAGAGAGCACACTGTCAATCTTTCTCTACTGAGCATTGCCAAGGAATTCACTCAACATTGGAGACGTGAGGGAAGCACTGAATCTATTAAGACATTGCTTTGATCTAGAAAGTCTTATAAAAATTGAAAAAAATGTTAATCTTAGAAATCGACTTCCCTCAATGAATTTGTAGAAAAATAACATGTAAGTATAACCAAATAAACATAAATTCAGTTTATAAAGTTTATAAGTCAAATAAATGATTCATTATAACTTTCAGAGTCCTTCAACTATATAGTTCAAGTAAACTCCCTGCCTCATTATGCCATCCAAAGTTATGTTTCAGTAAATGTTTCCCTATTTGTTAATTTACTATTTTAATTAAAATTTAATGTAATTGAAATTTGCTGTTGTTAATTTTATTTGATTTATTGTCTTTTCTGTGAACTTCCCTCAATCCAAGACAATTCTACAAGCTTCTTTCAAAAAGTTACATATTTTCTTAACAGGAAGTATGCTGGGAAGCATTTTTTTCTTTCTTTGAAATTCTAAAATTATTAAACAACCCATCCTACCTTATGTTTATGTTTTGTGAATCATTTTAGTAGCGAGTAATTTTTTTCAGAAAACTTGCCTTTAAAAAAATGTATGATTTAGTCTAGAGCTCAGGGTAAGAGGAGAGACCTACAGAGTTCTTGAAGGCAGAGAAGCTACAATGAGAGAAAGGATGGACCACTGAAACCATTTCAAGCCCTGACCACTTCAGGGTTGGCCCTGGTGAGCACATGGAGTAAGAGCTGGCAAAAAAACACACCTGTGCCTTTTGCATGAAGTTGCTTGGAGGCTGCAGGGGAGAAGAGAGCCTCGGTGGCCCCCAGGCCAGCAAGATCACTGACGGGGTTACCATGGATCCACATAGGAGCGAGTTGCCACAGACAATGGAAAAAAGGAGCCACTCAGAGGCCAGTGGGTCACTGCAAGGGACTGACGTGTGGTCAATCCCATGGGAAGTGTTTGGAGTGCAGAGGGTGGGGGAGACAGGCCCACTGGGGGAACACTGGGGCATAGCATGGACAGCTTATCTGCCCTCCAGTCAGCACAGGCCCACTCAGTGTAGACTGGTCAGGAATATAGAACTGAGGGGATGAAGTTTGCTGAAGAGACTAAGGCCCACACCAGAGTTTCCACACAACCCAGATGTATCAGACCTCACAAGACTCGGAAGTGCTGAAAAGATCAACAATTAAAACCTGAGCAGCACAAAAAGCCTTCCCCAGAAAANAATGAGAAATACCATTAGACAGTTCCTGGTGCTCTTGGATACACTTTCCCTACTGAGGTAGAGTCAAATCAAGCAGACTTGAATGGACTTTCATTCTGACAGAAGCCAAGAGAACTTGGGGAAGAAAAAAGAATAATCGAGTTCCCACAATAAGAAAATATTCAGATGGACTTAAAGTCTTGGAAAGATTGCTGACAGGATAATTATTGATAAAGATCCCAATTTTTAATTTAATACAGTATATCCTGAAAGTCGATAGTGTATCAAATGTAAGCAGAAGGAACTTAATTTCTATTAGCTAACCTAATAAAACTATCTTTGTTAAACTAAAACACAATAAAAGTTTTCAAATTTATTTTACTCCAGTGATATTCATACAATGTAACATTATAATAATTCATTAAAAACCAACCTTATATAAACTTAGTAGTAAATAAAATGTATAAGGGCTGGCCAGTTAGCTCAGTTGGTTAGAGCGTGGTCCAACACCAAGGTCAAGGGTTCAGATCCTTGTTTGCCACAGACAATGGAAAAAAGGAGCCACTCAGAGGCCAGTGGGTCACTGCAAGGGACTGACGTGTGGTCAATCCCATGGGAAGTGTTTGGAGTGCAGAGGGTGGGGGAGACAGGCCCACTGGGGGAACACTGGGGCATAGCATGGACAGCTTATCTGCCCTCCAGTCAGCACAGGCCCACTCAGTGTAGACTGGTCAGGAATATAGAACTGAGGGGATGCAGTTTGCTGAAGAGACTAAGGCCCACACCAGAGTTTCCACACAACCCAGATGTATCAGACCTCACAAGACTTGGAAGTGCTGAAAAGATCAACAATTAAAACCTGAGCAGCACAAAAAGCCTTCCCCAGAAAAGCAGCAGCAAAGCAGCAATTTAGCACAACCACAGGGCTCAAGTGCTGGTCCCCATAGGAAGTTCCCCCACTTTAGAGGTAACCAAAAGATAACAAATTGTTCCATTGCAGAGTTTAAGTGGTGGGAATAGCGAATAATCCAACATAGAACTGGAAGAAAAAACAAAAAGCCCACATCAGAGACAAAGTTCTGATATTACCCAGTAAAGGTCTAACACCACTAAAGAGCACTTATAAAACCTAGAAGGACTGGAAGCCTCCCAGGTTCCCACGCCGGGCTGGGAAGAGGAACAAGGGCCTCAGCCATCCCCCGCAAACAACCACATCCAGCCCAGCAACAGCTACCAGGCCACCTCTGGAAGCACCCTGGGCTCCCAAGCCAGGGCAGTGGGGGGCTGAGGGCTTCAGCTACACCCCCACCCCCAATGTCCACATCCAGCCCAATGATGACCCACTGAGCCACACCAGAAATGCCCTAGGCTCCCAAGCTTGCAGGGGGGCCCGATGGCCTCAGCTATACCACCCAATGTCCACATCCAGCCCAGCGACAACCCCTGAGCCACTTCTGGAAGCTCCCTGGGCTCCTGAGCTGGAGTGGGAGGGGGCCGAGGGACTAAGCCATGCCCCTCCAACATCTGCATCCAGCCCAGCAACAACCACAGAGCTACCACCAGAAGCACTCTGGGCTCCTGAGCTGGGGCAGTGGGGGACCAAGGACCACAGCCACACCCCCTGATGTCTGCACCCAGCCCAGTGATGACCACCGAGCCACCACCAAAAGTGCCCTGGGCTCCCTGGGGGTGGGGAGGCCAAGGGCCTCAGCCATACCCCTCCAAAGTCTGCATTCAGCCGAGCCATGACTGAGCCACTGCCAGAAGCCCCCTGGGCTCCCCTGCCAGAATGAAGGGGGTGCCACGGGTCTTGACCATGCCTCCTCTCCTTCCACCCCAACCCCCTACCCTTTCCTCTCTCCCCCTTCCCCCCAACTGTTCTACAACATCATCTTAGAATGTAAAAAAAAAAACAATAATAAATAAATAAAAAGATATTAGGAGGGGGAAAAAAATCAGACATTGTAGAGGCAAAAAATAAATATTCAGAGATTTCTTTAATATGCAAAAAAAGTATCATTTAAAAATATTTAATTTAGTGAATCACAGACAATTTTTTTTTTTTGTAGGGAACAAATACAATTCATATAATTAAAAGATCAGGCGGCCTTGGAGTTAGGAGAGGTAAACTATGGCTTCAAGAATACCCTCTGACTAGTTAGATTACACCTTTGGAAAGCACCTTAAATTCTTTGTACTTAATTTTTTAATGTAAAATGGAGTAAAATTTTCTCCAGTAAATTCCAACTCAAAAATTCTATTATCCTTCAGTTCCTATTTCATAAGAAAAGCCAACAGGAATGCAAAATGCAGTAACCAGATATTCATTTTACAAACAACTTCGCACCTGTAGAGAACTTTCTTTCATATACATCACTGATTTTTAGAGACAAGGGTAACCCATTTTTAAAGAAGAGTAACCTCAGTTGTTCTGATAAACTTTTTATTTCTTGACTCATAAAGACAATAATGTCTATAATGAAAATAAAAATATTTAAAATTACATACATTTTTAAATGAGTCAAAATCTAACAAATCTTCATAAAACAGTTAAGAATTAAGCACATACTTTTACTTGAAGATCCTCAGAACTTTCTGTTGACAAGTACAAAGAAAGCAGAACTGGCAAAATATTTGTCACTGCGACAGCCCGTGCATGTTCAGGAGTGTGTCTCCCAATCTGTCCTAAGGCCCAAGCAGCAGCAGCCTTAATATGATCTTCTGGTTCTTCTGACAAGCAGATTGACAATTGGGGTACACCCTGTAGCATTGATCAAAAGAGCAAATGTTATGAATCTAGAGCAGGATTAAAGAGTCTTCCATGTCTCTCAAACATGAGAAGAAATCATCTCGGCCTTGATTCTTTTTTTCCTAAATGGTTCACTAAGTGAGCTCATCACAGGGGCTGTCATTTCTTAAGTCAATGAAATGACTAGAAATAAATTACCTTAATTATCTGTAACAATCCAACTAAATTAAGAATATCTCTACTAGCTTTTACTCCTCAAACAGAGAGGCATTTAACCAAACAACTGGGAAGTAAGCAAATAGACTAGGAAGTAGACAAAATGAGATTCCACTGTGACAAACTAAAAATGTTTAGGATTTTAAAGCCTTTTATTCGCGATCCGTTGCTGGACACGGAAAAAGACAAAAAAAATAAATAAATAAATAAAAAAATAAAAATATATTCACTAATACCTTTCCAGAAATAGTACATAAATAATATTCTATTAATTATAAATAAATAAAAATATATTCACTAATACCTTTCCAGAAATAGTACATAAATAATATTCTATTAATTTTGGTCAATTTTTAGATTATTGTTTTCCCCCTTTTAACACGATTGAATGTCAAAATAGAAATGATGACTTTTGTTGTAGGCACACTCAGCATATGCTTACATTTCGTATCTTAGGCTTCGATTTTATCTGAACGGTAAGAACAGAATTAACTGAAGAACCTCAAATACATCATAGTTTATAGACCCAAGGAAGAATCAAATAACCAAATCAAATTTTAAATCCAGATTCTGAATAAGCATAATTTTCTAACTAATTTGGGACTATAGTAACCACCTTAAATTTAGTACCAAAAAAACCAGTATTACATGGTCATGCTTCCACAGCAAAGGCTGAAGTTATCATATGTACTTTTTTTCCCTACCCTTTAATTTGGTTATTAAAATCAATATCCTAAAGAGACCTGCCACATTTCTTCATTGGCTTCTTTCCTACAACTGAAAGTGTATGTCTGCCAATAGAAAAGTTCAGACCTGTCTTCAGAATGAAGCAACTTTCCAGAAAGTCCACACTTCTAGTATATAACAAGACTGAAAACACGGGAGGAGAAGGAGCCCATCCCAAGGTTCTGACTTACCGGCCTCAGTTGTTATGAATAGCAACTGAGATAAGGAACTCGTATGTGCTTCAGAATTATAAAGTGTTATTTAAATGTAAGGTACTATTATTAGTCCTTATGGTACTACGTAGCAAAAGGAGAGAATGTGACAGTACTGTGTGGTTTGCCTCAAACTGCTGCTGCCACCTCCATCTTCAACTAAGTGGTAAACAAACCAGGTGGAAGAGGCCGGCAGCAACCCTAGACCAATGAAGGGGAGAGCCTCCTGGTTAGTTTGAGGAAGGCATGCAGGGAGCAAAAGCAATGCTGCTGCTTTCACCATTCTTCCTATGCGTAAGCTTCCTAAGTATCCACAGAAGAACGAAGGATCAAATATCCCAGGAACCTCCTTACAGTGACCCTTCAGAAAGCACTGCCACTGCTCTAGTCACTATCATAGTTTGTGGTAATAGAAGAACAAAGGAAAAGAGCAGTATAAAAAGCCGTGAAGCAAAGAATTACATGGAATGGGTAGAAAATAAAGATCTGAGGTTCCTTCCATTCCGAGGATTAACAAAGGATTAAAAAAAAAACCACCAACATTTCTGTTTAACATACAGCAGCAGGTTTTCTAAACTGATAAGAAACCCACACCACACACACTGTAAGCACACAGTCTTTGAAGCATTCTTCAGCAGATTAATATTTATTCATCAACACATATTTTGTGAGCACCTACCACCAACATTTCTGTTTAACATACAGCAGCAGGTTTTCTAAACTGATAAGAAACCCACACCACACACACTGTAAGCACACAATCTTTGAAGCATTCTTCAGCAGATTAATATTTATTCATCAACACATATTTTGTGAGCACCTACTATGTGCCGGGGTTACACTATCTGGTGGGTTCATACAAAGTTGTGAATTGAGATAAGGCAAAATCCCCAGAGCAAGGAAACAAAAACAATGCTAAAGCAGATGTGTGCTCTGAACTGTCTACGTCTAAGAAGAGAAATTAAATTAGTTCATGAAAGCTGAAAGAGAGAAAGTGGATAAAAAAAGGGACGTCCTAGCCATTGTCATCTCCTACCCAAACAGGAAAGGGAGGAATGTACAGACCTCTGAGAATAGTGAAAATGATTACAGGACATGTCATTTATAATAGTTGTTTTTAACCAAAATATGCTTTCATATATATAAATATTCACAGTTAATCCTTCAAGATACAAATACACTTAATCTTCAAATACAGATAATATTAATACACACAAAAGGTCATATTTTGTTGATATTAAACACTGAGTAAACCTTTAAACTTCCCATAACTTGAAGATTACTTTGGGAAGCTTACTGAGCATTGAAACGAAGCATTGAAATAATTTTTAAAAAATGTCAGGAAAGTCTTTTGCTCTGGTCAGTTAAATTTTATATTCTACAGGAGAGTCTTAATCTATGGTTCTGTCTTAGAATACCTTACTGCAAGAGCTAGAAGAAAATAAAGCAAGAATGAACCTTGGAAATGATCACCGCCATCGCTAGGTTCTCTGAATGAGTTGCTACGTATCCAAGCATCATGATGCCAGGCAGCCTGATATTCCCTTTGCAGGACCCAATACAATCAATCACAGCAGCAACGCCTCCTGCATTCACTATCAGCTGTGAAAGCTAAGAGAAAAGAATAAGAGCTAGATAATCGGGACCATAAAGCATAAGATGATCTTTAAATACTAGTTTAGTATTTTCACACTTTATTTAGGACCTAAAAATAACTGGTGAAATTGAAATAGCATTTAGTGAAATTATTATATTTATTAAAGAAATATAAAAATATAATAATGCTGCTCTTTCAAATGCACAGATATACTCACTGTGAAGGGCTTTACTCTGTGGTTCAATTTTTCATGCATCGATGGCACAACTTTTATCCCTATTATAACTGATGTCAAAATTCCTCACCTAGACACTAAGCCTAGGGCTAGCTCATAACTAGCTAACTACTACCCCCCAGTCACAATGCATGAGTATGAAGCAGATTAATCTCTGAATGCAGAAAGACAATGTCAGACTTGAAATATTCTAACCTAATTATTCCTTCTTTGCTAGTAATGATTACTATCTGGGCGCACTTCGATTCTGAAAAAGCTCCACCAAATAAAGATGTTAGGTGAAATAAAGTGAGGGCTTTAAAGATTAATGAAATGAACTTTCATTCATCAAAATATTCTTGGAAAAAAGATATAACTTCAGAATCAACACAGGCTTGCTTTGTCTCATTTCTTTTGCATCGAAGAACTTAGAGCAGGAAACGACCACATAAGAGCAGCTATTAGAGTGGTCACACCAGGCCAAAGGACTTTTACGGTCTCTCCCAACCTGGAGGTATAATATTTTTCTCACTATGCCCAGCTGACATAAAATGATAAGGATGACAAAGGCCCACAGTCCCCACAATCTAGAAATGAAAAGCTGGAAATGATTAGAAACTGATGTTTCAAACTCACACTCCATTAATATAACCCAATGGTCCTCAACTGGGGGCAATTTCACCCCCTGGAGAACATTTGGCAATAAATGGAGACATTTTTGATTGTCACCACTTGGGGTGGGGGTGCTACTGGCATTTAGTGGGCAGAGGCCAGGGATGCCACTAAACACCCATTCTACAATATACAGAGTAGCCCACCACAACGAAAAATTACCTCGTCCAAAACGTCAGCAGTGCTGACATGAGAATGCCTGACCTAACTAGATCATGTGGCGTAACCCTTGGACCCTGTCAACAAATTGATGTTTTATTTAAAACACTAAAACTAACTACATATTATTATATATCTTGAAGCTTTTTATTTTTCACCTCAGGCGTATGTTTTGCAATCTCTCTAATTAAAGTAGAAGCATTTTTCTTCACGTATTCATCTTTGTCCTTCAGACAGGTAAGTACCACTGGAAAAATCTCTGCTTCAACGACCATTTCTGCCAGATCCACAGAGTGTTTTGCAATCTGACTGAGAGCTGAAAGGATCTGACGCTGTTAAGCAAAAACACAAAACAAAACATTATGTAGGGTCCACTACAGAGGTCAGATGTAATTTAAACAGCTTTATACATGTTCAAATTCTTTCATAAAAAAATTACATATCTAACATAACCTAACATTTCTAAGTCTTGAGACATTCATATCCTATTCTTATACTCAGTTTTTAAAAATTCCCTAATTTCCAAATTAATTCTCTACTGACTATTTAAAAACTCTATCTATTGCAGATGATTAAAGAATGTGATGTTTGAACACTATTTCTGAATTATAAATTATTAAATTGTTAACTTATGATACATGTGGTAATTTAGTGCAAAAACAATCAAGTAGAACCAACATCTAATTTTCAGCATGATGCTGACGCCATTTCAAAGATACCATTGCTTAGTTAATAGGAACAATTTTAAAACTTTATAGAATATAACTATTACAATATAAAAGTATAACTCATAGCTATTAATGGAAAATCAGATTTTAGAAAGCTATAAAATGACTAATATAAAATGGTGATTTTCATAAGAAACTTAGATATTATAGTAGTGGGCTAGAAAACCCTTAGGTCCCTTCCAATCCTGAGATTCAATCATTATGTGATTCCTTATTATAATCATTAATTGTTAACACTGCTGCTAGTTTTAATTTTTAACACTGCACATAGTTTTCCCAACCACATCTTTATTGTCTGATCCTTACAGCATTGTCTTCACATATTAAAAGACCAAATACATAATATGTTCATATCTGTTTTCAATGATAATTTACTAATTATTTCTAGATGTATAATACTAATCTGTATATATTTCCATTTTTTTTTTTTTTAGATTATAAGATAGATTATAAGAAGTCTGGTTTGTTTGTGCTTTAACTTTATTTTTAAATACCTTCAGTTTAGGATCAGGGTTGAGGATCATCTGGGCTAAGTGAGCAACGGCTCCTGCATCCACTACTGTCTGTGCTAACTCTGGAGAATGCTTTGAAATATCACTGAGGGCTGAGGCAGCAATCCTTTTCAAAGCAATTTCTGGCTCCTGGATACAGAGTACTAAAAGAGGAACAGCTCCCGCATCCACCACAGCTTGTGACAGTTCTGTGGGTCCAAGAAAAGTAATTAAGTGAGTATGGGTGACTGACCCTTGTGCAAGCCATTTTTCACCCTGACAGATACAGCAAAGAAAAAAGCAGAGAGTGTACTTCACTCTCTCGACATCTGCATTTCAAATCAGCCTTCCTGGTTTCATGAACCATGTGGACCAATCCTGAGTTGAAAAGAATACAGGTCAATAGATGGCCCTCCATTTACATGAACACATTTGAGGTAGATTAGGCTGAAATGGCTTGTTATTCTTTTTGTTTTTTTTTTTTTAAGAGAGTAAGCAGATGTCAGCTGTTTAAGTTCTGACAATTCTGCATTTCTCAGTAGGCAAGCATTTTATGCATGGTTTACAATAACAGAGAAAACCAAAAATTTACCAACCGCACTAATTAGGCCGCATTTTGTGCTATTTACGTGAGTAAACATTAACATGAATCTTGTGCCAATAATGTCGATTTTTAAATTACTTTCATCTTACAATACTTTTAAAAGATTTTTTTAAAACTTCATGTAAAATAAAACGCTGTGTTTTCATTGTGTATATAAAAACACTTTTAAAAACGAGATCTATAACTGATCAACATACTTTGATATATAAATGTTAATATTTAGGTAAAAGACTAAATTTATCTTAACCGTGTTACATGTCAGAAATCAAGTAAATATCTTTTGAACACATGTTGATTTACTTGTGTGTCCAAGAATAACAGCCATAAAAGTAACACATTTTAAATTATAGAGAATGGGACACAGGCAGGCAGACCCATATAATATATATGTAAAAAATGCCTTTTGAGAAGCATAAAGGACCATATACATAGTTACAAATTCTACTCTCATTATATTCACGGCCTCTCTTACTGAATCACATACGCCCATTTCTACAATCACTCCCTTTCAAATTACGTTCTTATTTTCCCCAATTTGTAGTGCCTTAACAATGGATGAGTATAAATGTCTTAACTGTCAAACTAAGACATCTATTCAGCATATCACTTAAAGTCTTTAATTTGAAGAAAATACAGTGTTTAATTTTTCAAAAGGTTGGTAATATCACATTTTCTGAAAGAAAATAATGTTAACTGTTGGCTAATATACCCTCTGCCAGAAAAGTAAAATGGCATTAAAGACCGAGATACACAAAATGGCACCTGAGAAAGTTTCCTGGAAAACCCCCACCCAGAAAAATCCCCTAGCTGCCACGTCACCTTCCCGCGTGCGCAATTTTGCCCACCTGTGAGAAAGTCCCAGCTCAGCTTAAACCCCGCTTGCTTCCCTCCCCTTCCTTCTTAGCCAATAGGAACAGTCCAGCTCAGCCTAACTGGATATAAAAGGCCCACCCGACTCTCCCCGCAGCTGCTCCCACTCTCTAGAGGGCAGCTAGCTTGTTCATTTTGCCTGCCTAGTACACTTTGGTTGAGTCCCTGTCTCCTGGTGTGTCTTATTTTGTGCTCGGGCTGGGGTTTTTCCTTTCATTAACTAATACAGGTTAGTATCTAATATTTGTTTTCCTTAAATTATCACAATTATCTTGGGATTCCCAATATTGTATAAATGATTCATTCACTCTTTCATTAAGCAAGTATTAATGGAAAGTTACTATGTGTTAGGCTCATTCAGCTCTGGTGCCAATGACAAATTAACACTACGTTCATTAGCAAATATATGTTTCAATTTTAAAAATCTGTTGTGAAATACGGTATACAATAGGAAGTTCACATATAACTTCAAGAACCAGAGATAGATAAGAGGAAAATGGTTTTTCTTAAAAAAGAAGACAATGGCAGCAACTGACTGGAGTCAGCATTATAGCAGGTTCCCTCACAGTCAAGTCTCTGGGATGCTACTACAATAGCCCAAAGACCAAGACTCCAGGTAAAACAAGTGATCACTGTTTCTCCCCCAGCCCCACCCACACCCACACCCAAGGGAAGTGGGAAGAAAATATAAAGTGCGATATTATAATTTCTAAATATAATATTCATATTTTCTGTTCATTATTGACATGTTACTTAAGAATTTAATTCAATCCAAATTATATGGGTGTTGTATGGAATATCAACTTTATATGTACCTATTTAAGTGCACCTGGAATATTCATAATGGGATGAACAGTTTGTTTTGAGAGAGTATAAAGATTAGTTCATCTACTCATGCATTTTCACATTTACACATAGTTTCTAAGAATAAAGAATTTTCAGTAAACTACAAGTGTTTAACAGTACTTATTAATAAACTTCAAGGTTCTTTTTATTTGTTTTTGGTGGCTGGCCAGTATGGGGATCTGAACCCTTGACGTTTCTTTTTTTAAAAACATCCGCTATCTTTCTTTATAATTCCCATATATTTCATCCTTTGCTGGAATAATTGTTAGAGTGTTACATCCTCCTTTCCCTGAGTACTATAATGCTAATAATAAAGCAAACTCTGTTCTTCTGACCTGTTATCCAATCCCATCCGAAGCTGTTTTCTATTCTCTCCAGAGTAGTGATGTTGAATGTGGGGAAAGCTGGAGATGACATGGAGAAAGATTTAAAGTAACGAGGTTTCCAAGAACCTGGAGTGGGCCTAGCAATTTTGTACTCGCAATTTCACATACTCTACATCTCCAAATGTCTGTGGTCCTACAAAACCAGTATCCACTCTTGACTGGCACATGTTCCTTAAAAATAATATTGTTCCACTAGCTTCATACATATATAAGATAGCGTACATACAGATAAGAATAAAATAGTCCTAAGTGATGCACAGCATATTATATGACATATACTACAGCTTATTTCATCCTGCCTCTATCACTGTTCTTTTTCTGTGGCATGTCTTTCTCCTTTTCCCTATTATTGCTTCCTCTGGTGTTTCTGTGCTAGTCACTGTTGGTGTCTACCCACTAGCCTTTGTCAGCTACAGCATGGACTTGTGAACCAATCGTTATTTCATCCTGCCTCTATCACTGTTCTTTTTCTATGGCATGTCTTTCTCCTTTTCCCTATTATTGCTTCCTCTGGTGTTTCTGTGCCAGTCACTGTTGGTGTCTACCCACTAGCCTTTGTCAGCTACAGCATGGACTTGTGAACCAATCCTGGCCAATGGGACCTGAGTGGAAATCAGCTGGAAGCATCTGTGAAAGGTTTTCCTCTGCAATAAACTGAAATACACATGAGGAAACAGCGCCTCTTCTTTGTTGGACATGGTCCTGTCTGAAAATGACAACTGGAATTCCTGCATTCATCTAGAAGCTATAATGGAAGAAATCACCAATGTGCCAAGGATGGCTGAGTATAAAAATGAAAAACATCTGGGTCATCCATGACACTATTCAGCTGCATAACCAACCCTGGAACTGCCATGAGCCTGAACCTTGCATCCTGTGAAATAGAGAGTCCTTACTGTTTAAGCCACTTGTAGTTGATATTCTGTAACTTACAGCTGAAAACTTCCCGACACAATTCTTTCCTCTCTCATACTTCGTGTATGACATATTTTCCTTTCTTCCATCACTCATCAAGTCTTCATTAAGTGCTTACTACGTGCTGGAAACTTGGATAGATCTTGGTGGAGAATAGAGTAAAACAACTGTTCTGTCCTGGAAGACCCCGCTCAGGGTAAATATATGAACAAATCACTACAAGTGCAGAATGTTCAGGAAAACTGTATACAGTGGTGTCATATCAGGAAGCACTTCCCAACTTACTTCCTTCACCCCTTTTCTTTTTTCCTATGCTTTTCTACTCTAAAAAAAAGCAAAATACAAACTTCTGCACATCTAATAATTACTTCCCATACGAGAAATCTCACAGAGTTCATTTTTAAACTGTAATTTGGAAATGAGTTTCTGGATATTCAATTAATTATCATACTTATGAAATCAAAAATTGATATGTACACACAGATGCTCTTGAAGTTTGCCTAAAAAAGCAGTGAGTGAAGAAATTTAGCTTCAGTTGAAAATATCTTAGCCTCATTTTAAATTTTAAAAAGTGAACCTTCAATATTAATTTTCTAAAAAGATATCTTCTATTATGCAAAACAACATGTGATATAATCATATAGTGTCAGATAATAAGCAAGATTAAAAAGTGGTCGTGTTTTAAAATGCAAAGAAAAAAACATTTTATACCAACATACTAACAGCATACTGGGTTGATGGTACTACTGGTGATATTTTTTTCTTCTCTATTTGCCAAATTTTCTTCAATGTCATTATTTTTTTTTAAATAAAGGAATATAAACATATCTTATGTCCATACATATAGCTACTAATGGGGCTAACTATGTTAACATTACCATTATAAAAAAGACAAATATAAAATTGTTGGCCTACTTCTCAATATAGCTGAAAGTTTCTTATTTCAAAAATGGTGAAATGCATGTCTGCTTCAAATAAAATAGGAGTGTGTGATTATTCTTCTTTGAAAAATTACTAACAGATACTAGAGACATTATTCATTTACTTTTTCACACTTTCCATGCTGCCTTAATTCATGCCCTTATTACATTTAAGTTAAAATGTTACATTTTTAATTGTTAGGAATTATTCATTTTTAACCATTTTTTAGACTTCAAAGTGTGAGAGGGAATAAAATTATACAATAGAACCTTCCTTATTCACAAATATAATGAAAGCCATTTATTATATACATGTAGACAACTGAATGTATGGTCCTCAAATCTGATGGACAGCTGTTTCCAGTAAAGGAACAATTAGTTCTATTTGGCCCCATGAATAGGTCATTGCTGAGTGAAGGAACCGAGGCAGCCTAGTACATGGGACTGTGACGGAGGTGGGGGTGTCATCACACTTCTCTGTCTCTCCCTGATTTTCCAAATTCTAACATTTATGAGGCTTATTTGCATACAATTTTTTTGAATACTAATAACATGAAAATTTGGGGTGACAAGTCTTTGCTTCTCACACAGCTGGATTTTCTTAAGAATTTCATTCTGTGCTGTTCTTGGGAACTGGGTTTTTTAGTTTGCTTGGTTTTTCCTTAAAT